TGTTGCTTTGCTTGACCCAGTAGTTGAGTTGTCTGGACTCGAACCAAACAAAAAGATACATTTGCTCTTCTTATCATCATGGATAAAATGGTCTCTGGTATTGTCACACGACATGTGATAATTTCCCTCCAATAGTATCTTTTTCCAATTATAAGGTGAGACAAATCTATTTTGAAGAATGTGTATATATCTAGACTTTTAAAGAATGTGTAATCAAAAGTTTTTAATTTATTAAGAAAAGAAATGAAATGCATATTTCTCAATTTAAATATTTTTATAAGTTTTTTCCTATTTTATGATTTTTTTTTTCAAAAATATTCATCGGCATCCACATTCTATTGATTTTTTTTGGATCAAAATTTCTAAATTGAGATATCCACATTTCTATCTAGCATCCACATTTAAAACTTTGGTTAATAACTATATACATATTAGACATATACAATATAAAATATATAATATATATAAATAAACTAAACTTCTACCTTTTCTTTGTATATATTTTTTAAAATTTTAATTCAATACTAACTTGCATTAGTTTCTACAGAACACAAAATATGTCATGAGTTTACCTTCCTAATTTATTTATGAATATCTTTGAGAATTGTGTAATCTTTGAGAAGGTTAATATTATTGGATGTTTTTAATAATGCTAATTTTAAAACTTATTCCAAATATATGTCACTTCCCCGAACTATTTCTAAGTATAATACTTGGAAAATAGCAGGTCTCTACCGACCTGTGAAGTGGCACTAGAAGGTCGTCTCTAAGCGACACATTATTTTTTTTTTAAGTAAAAGTTGATCGTCTCTTACTTCAGTTTTTAATTATGTGGCACGCCACGCAATTCTTTTCTTTTTTTCTTTTTAAAAAAATACGTAGCATGTCGTATCTTCTATGTGAGTTTTTTTCAAAACCCACTTACCCATTTACGTTTTGCCTTTTCTTATTTTTGTATCACCTAACAGGTCGTCTCTTCAAGAAATGACCTGTTAGGTTTATTATTAATTTTTTTGACTTCTTTCTTTGGTTATTTGCAATATTTATTTTTTTAATTTGTTTTACATATATTTAATATTTAAGGTTTAATTTTGTTAAATAATCATACTTTAATTAGAAAATAATATTCTTAATTTATCAATACTATTAGAGAACTTCTTGGTCTACCAGACTGTCTCAATAAAGTTGGATCATGTCTTAATAAAGCTGGATCATCATGTAATATAGGCATATTTCGATGTGCAGTTCAATAATCTTCGTGTGGAATTGGTTCAAATTGATGAGTATAGCATGTTGTTGGGTTTGTAAGGAAAGTGCAAACAAAGTCCCACATTGGCTAGGAAAGGGAATGATCATGAGTATATAAGAGAGGACAATTATTTCCATTGGTATGAGGACTTTTGGGTGAAATCAAAAGCAATACACGATCTATTTGAAGTACGGGTCAAAACTTTTGAAATGCTCCAATACAACGACCGAATGACCAAAAGACGGAACGTAGAATGACATGATTAGATCTTGGTACTTTGTGATTTCCCAAAGGTTATAACGTTTGTTTAGAATTGCACGGAGTTGCCATTTGCATCCATCTTCCCACTTCTTGCATCTAATTACCCACTTTGATGGTATCGACTCTACAACTTCATATGGGTGGTGACTTTTAACTGCAAACCGTTTCACAATATGTTGTATTGTTTGTTTATCTTTGCATCTGAACCCCTTGTACGACAAATCATGTTCTACAGCCAATGGTCCAACGATCAGATCATATTCTGTAGTACTATTCATGGTGTCTATTCCCAAGTCGTTGAACATGCCTGAAGGGATATTATATTCATGACCCTCGAAATCCAATTGATCAAACTCATCATCTATTGCAGTTCTCAATTCTACAAAACTATTTTCAACAGGTAAGTCTATATCCTCGTCCACATTATCACTTGGGGACAATTGGTTCAGGCTCAGGGTCAAGGCATTGGCTCTCGTTGAGACATTGGATAGGTGTGTCATTGACTATGTTTCTAACACACACAAATAATTCCACATAATTCCACCATATGTGGGGCAGGCAACCCAATTGAGAACATCAGCTCTAACACATAGTGGTTCGAAATTGGAATAGGAATCAACTTAGTTGATCCTAAAGGTGTAAGAGTTGGCTGTCTATAAACTATTTCTAATTCATTGTCGTTCATATCTACGTTCAATGATAATCCAACCATTTCAATAGAATGTTCAAACTCAATACCACTATTAACAGTAAAACCTCCACATAGCAGTTGATTATATTCAACTCTATTTACACCTTCCACCATACAACCATTCATATACAAAACAATTGACAAACATTTAGCTGTCATATTCTATCCAAGAACAGCACAAACAAAAGTTAAATTTGGTAACTAAATCTAATTACTAGGGGTGAGCATCAATTGGTCGGGGTCGGTTTTTGGCCGACCCCGACGCCGAAAACCGACATAGTCGGTCTCGGTCGATCGGATTTTTTTTAAAAATCTTTCTTTACAAACCGACAGCTTAACCGACTGATCGGTCGGTCGGTTTCGTCAGTTTCTAATATATATTAAACAAGAGGGGCAGTTCTGAATAACCGTTGGTGTGACTGAAATGTAAAGATCAGAGAGACAAGAAAGAGAAGAAATGGGAGAGGGGAAAACAATGGAGGAAGCTGGTGAAGTGAATGATGAAATGAAAGAAAGAAAGAAATGTGGAGACTGGAGAGAGAAACGAAAAGGAGAAGAAGATGAAAAGAGGGAGAGAGAAATAGAAAGTGGGGTAAAAAGAAAGGGTTATTAAATGGCGACGTAGGTGGGGAAATAGATGGATAAAAATGAAGTAATAATAATTAATGACAAATAAATAAAAAATAATAATAAAAATAAATAAAAAGAAAATAGTAACAACAAATTATTATTATTATTATTAATAAAAACAATTCACGTGAATCACGTGAAACAATTTTTTATTATTTTTTTAGACTCCCCCATAACTCACGTGTCAACTTATTACCCATCTTTTTTTTTTCACTTCAGAATCCTCTTTATCCCTCTCTTTTTTCCCTCTCTTTT